CACTGGGGAAAAGAATTTAACAGTGAGGCTTATTAGATTATGGAACACTCTTCCCAAAGGATGTGGTTCAAGCTCCATTACTTGCCCTCAGTATTAGGCTGGTTAGAATAACAGAATGTACTGAGGGAACACTTGAGCACTGGTAGGGAATGAACACAGTTACCCAATCCATCTACTCATTTGTCTTGCTTCCGTGATTCATTTCCTGAAAAACGGCTTCCAAAATGTGCTAATGACATCACAGCTTCAGGCTCCACGGACACGTTTGTGCTTCTTGGTAACCATGCAGCTTTCAGAGGCAGTTTATTGGCAGACTGAGCAAGTGGGGGCTCTATGGCAAGTGTCACTGGGACGCATCCCGAACCACCACAGAGCTGGGCTGTGTCCCTGGAGGGTGGTGGTCAGGAGTAGGGCAGCAGCAGAATTTCTGTTGCAGAAGTCACTGCCTCCTGCTTTTCTTGGCAGTGAGGACAAGAAAGGCTTGTCTCCTTGAGAAGCCAGCCGTATTGATTCTCTTACAACGATTTGATGGGAGGAGAATAACTTACAGCATTCCCTTGAAGTGCAGTGTGACTAGGTTGGTTTCTTCAGTCTGGGCTTGCTGGTTGTGTACACGCCAGCGTCTTTGTTCCAGTGAGCTTAATCTTGCTTAGGAATGAAATACTTCATGTGCAAGCTCATTAACCACATAAAAACAGTTCCACGTTTCTTTTATTTCAACTTTGTTACTTCCTTACTGTACTGAGTCCAAAAACTTGCAGTGGGGCTTCTTTAAAAGCAGTGTAGCTGCGGTTCTGGTGGTTATTTAGTATACTTGGTGCTCCTCACAATTAGCAGTTTTAAGCTTGTTAAGACCAACCTGTTTGAAGATGTGATCCTGAAACACAGCACGACTTTGACTTGGGGCATAATATGAACTCCATCTTCAAGCAGCATTTGCCTCACTGCTCCAGCCTCTCCCATCTGATTCCATGGGTCGCTTTTTCCTCTCCCATTCGTTATTACATAACTTCCCCGTGGCAACTTGAGAAATGGCTTACATGGAAAAGTAATCGGAGGAAAAGTATTGATGTATTTTTAGTTTTCTTCTAACACAATGTAGCAGCTGGAAACCAGGAGGAGAGCCAGCACAACGTGAGCTGCCAGCTCTCCGTGGGCCACCAGAAAGCGTTCATCTCACCACAGTGTGAGAAGCATTGGATTGACTTGAGCAATGTGACACATCGTAAGCACTAAAAAAAAAAGGAAAAAAAGGCTTCTCAAGTTCCCAGAGCTGCTCTTGGTCATAATACGAATATTATTGTTATTATAATAGTCTTAATGGTAATAGTTTTGGATAGTTCTTGATTTGCTGGTTGTGGTGGAGGAATCACATGATGCTATCAAATAGAAGTAGAGAAAATCACTTGTGCCTTTAGTTCTTCATTATCTGAGTAATTTAGTGCTGTCCTATGTTGTAACATTGAACAATTAATTTTCTGTATGCCGACAGTTCCATAAATGGAGAAGCAAAGCATGGAGCTGGCTTAATTTGAGAATTCCTAAAACATGGGGTTAGTGAGAACCACTGAATGGCTTGGGTTGGAAGTCCCCAGTTCCAACCTCCCACCAGAGCAGGTTGCCCAGAGCCCCATCCAACCGCAGCGTGGCCTTGTGCACCTCCAGGGATGGGGCATCCGGTTCTGTTCTGCATGGTGCTTTTTGTGGTTGGGTTTTCTGTCTGGTTTTCATTTTCATTTTTTTTACCAGCTTCTGTAGCCTTGTCTACCCAATATTTTTTTGTCTTCCTGTGCTTGCTTATCCCATTTTAGAACAAGAGAGCGGGTTGTAACTTTGGAAATGTTAAAATGGCAAAAAGAGTTCAAGAAGATCTTTGGAATCTTCATATCTATTTGAAGTCTTCCTTCTTTCTTTTCATCATGGGTTGGCCCAGGGATACTGCCTTAATCCCGTGCTTGTAGGGCTGCTCGTGGAGAAGTCTTTGTGGATGAAACGTGGCACTCAACCAAATAGGTCCAAGAGCAATAGAGTTCATTTGCGGGATTGTGATGTGTTTAATGAATATAATTGCATTTTGCAGCTCTTATTATAAAAAATAAAACCTCAACTTTTAAAGGCAAGCTGCTAAAATTTTAGTCTCCTCAAAGTATAAATGAACTTGTTTGAGTAGGTACAGCTATGAACTCACCCGTTTCTCTTTGCTTTTGTCTACCAGAGACTAGAGTGTTAGGCTGTGATTTCTGCCTCATTCTGCTTACATTAAAAAGTGGTCTGGTGAAAGACAGTTCCTTTTAGATGAATGTGTCATTGCTTCATTTTGCCATTAATGTTGTTCCGCAGGCTGTCAAACTCAATTACAAGTCTGGTGTTGTTTCCATGGCTCTCAACAATGTTTCTTGCCATCCTAGAGCAGACTTCAGATTCTCTATTGCAAAGAAATGTGCTTTGCTCTTAAAGTGAGGTTTCTGTTTATTTTAGTTTGAAACAGATGGAAATATCTACGGCTGAACGATGTGAAATGACATTAGACAGCTTTGAAGGTGGGAGATGATTCTAGGACTGTGGAAGAAACTTAGAAGAGCTCATCATTGCAATCTTGTTGCTCTAGCAAGTAATTTAGTGAAAATTTGGTGCCATCTGAAATAATGGACCACTACTGTTTGCTGCACTTGCTGTGCCTTATGCAGAACAGTATGAGAAAGGAAACAGTTGTGGGGTGCAGTTGTGTGGAACAGGAGGGAAAATGGATCTGCTCATTCTGGTTTTAAAGCAAGAAACAACATGTTCCAAGTTCCATTGTTGTTTTTTTTTTGTCCAGAGATAACTGGCAAAATGTTTATATTGCTTTAACTGATTAAAAAAATAATAATAATTTGATAGTGTGATTGCGTGTGGAAATGAGTAAACAAAGTTATGTTAGAGAATGGCAATTAAAAATAGATATTTTGCAGCAAACAGCACATTGTATGGATGAAAAGTGCCCTAACTACAGAACTATCGAAGAGTGTTTTAAGACTGCTAACTTCATCAGGGCTGTAACTGACATGAGAAGGGCTGTTTTTGGTAGCATGGTGTTTTTTTAGTGTTTGTAGAGCTTCAGAAGCACGTTGGATCATCATGCTGTGGTGGGTAGTCTGCATCCTTCCACCCTTTTCACAGTCTGATTGTTTAATGCTGAGAATTGTGGCTTATCTTAGCCACTGGGAACATAGAGAGTAAAATGAAAAACATTGGCTGTGACATATCTCTTCCCAACACTTTGTTTAGCAAAATAATGCAGTGGTCATGAACAAAAGCACTGCTTTCCTTACTAACCTGGGGGCACCAGCCAGCACATAGCACCCAGTTTGACATTGCATCTTGGAGCTGGAGTGAACATTATGGACCCGCTAGCATGGGACTGATTTTTCTGGAGGAATGCCCTTGCCAGCAAGAGGCAGAACTCCATGAGGTCACCTGGGTCGTGCATCAGTGTGTGAATTCCTCCAGGACGTAATTAGCTCATTCTCTCTGATGGAAGACTCAAGTTACTAACCAGTACTTGGACCACGTCTCTCTTAACTTAAATGTTGAGGAAAGGTGTAGGGATGGCAGTGGTGCAGTTCCCATCCCTGGAGCTGTTCCAGACCCGTGGAGATGTGGCACATGCTCATTGGGCATGGTGGGCTGGGTGGGCATTGGACTTGGTGAGCTTAAAGGTCTTCTCTAACCTTAACGATTCTATAGCCCATTTACTTGGAAAGCCAGCTTGATGGTCAGTGTCTGTATTCTGATTTGAAAACAGTAGATCGCAAACACACTGATAACAAATTATTAAAGGAACATGAAAGTTTTGCTATGGAGATTCTAATCATTGCATTTTTTATTGCAAGAAGTCCTTCAAGCTGCTCAGCGCTGAATGTCATTTGCTGCTTTGCCTTTGACGTGGCACTAATTGCATTGCCACAGTGCTGATGAAGGGAATGTTGGTTATTAAAAGCCTGACCGTATGATTATGTTTGAAGAAAATTCTGGTTTGACTTCCAAAACTTTGTAGGGCTGAGAACTCTGTTAATTGACAATGCTATGTGTATGCTTTGCATTCCAGTAGCTTGCAAGTTTTTATCCTCTGCAATTCGAAACTGTCGTATTAGAATACTGAACTAAATTAGAAACGATACAGAAAACTGGGCCTCCTTAATTTTCATTTCTTTAGTTAAAAAATTATGTTATTACTAACTTTGACTCTCTGACATGAATTTAAAAATAAGGATTTTGAAGCTGAGTTTCTTCTGACTGTGCTGTATACTGTGTGTGTATAACTACTTTACTAAAGCTCTGTTCATTTGATGTAATGATCAGAATCTGCCTCAAATTTTCAAGGTACAATCAGAGCTATTTAGTGCTCAGCAGGCATTTAGGGATGAGAACGGTTATCTACAGAAAATGGAGAACATTCTAGTATGCATTGTTACTGCAGTTAGGAAGCAAATAACAGAGCTGCTGTGAGATGATTGGTTCAAATTGCTGTTGATGATGGTTTTGGTTGTTTTGGTCCCCAAGAAGCTTATTATTTGCTGTTACATTGTCTACCCACATCTAATGAGCAGCAATGATATTTTCTACTGGACTCTGGTTGCTGAAGCAGTATTGGCTTTTGTTACTTTGCTGTGCCTCAGTTTGTTCAAGTGTCTGTGTACGAGCTCCTTGTTCTCTCTCAATACATTAGAATTAGGAGGGATCCTTCAGCCAATGTCTGCTCTTTGTTTCATGTTCACCCTTCACTTCCTTTCTGCATGCTTTTTCTTATCTTCCTATGGCTTAATTTTCTCGTGTTCCTTGTGAAAATCTCATTTTTAGAAATTGTGTCTTCATGCTGTGCAGAGGTGAATTGCTCTTCTCCTTTTCCACATCGCTGCGTGTTAGATAATTCCGTTCTCTCCAAAGGGGCATTCTTCATTAAAATAAGAGCGTGCATTCTGCTGTCTAATTGGATTCCCCTTTGTGCCTTTTCTCTGCAGCTGGCCTGTGGACAGTCTTCACCTTGGGCGGAGTGGGGAGTAAGGCAACACCGCAGCTGGAGCAGTGCTCCCCACTGGCTAACCAGAGCCTGCTGCTGCTGCTGGTCCTGGCCAACCTGACTGATGCTCCGGACACCCCGAACCCCTACAGGCAGGCAATTATGTCATTCAAGAACACACAAGGTTTGTGTCTGATAGGACAAGATGAAACGCTTTCAGACTAAAAAAGAGGAGATTTATACTGCAAATAAGGAAGGAGTTCTTTACAAGAAGGGCAGGGAGGTGGCGGGTGCCCGGAGAGGTGATGATGCCCCATTCCTGGGGACAGCAGATGGGCTCTGAGCACTGCTGGAGCTGTGGGTGTCCCTGTGCACTGCAGGGAGTGGGGCCTGATGGCCCTTCCAACTCGAACCGTTCTGCGATTCCTTGATTCTCTGATCTGTTCTTACTCCAAAGCATGAACCGATGAAAATGAAGCTTTTAAGTTGCTGCAACTTTTTGGAGATTCTCTTTCCAAAACCTGTTTTTTTCTCCAGCAAGCCCATGTAATAGGACACCTTCCTCTGGGAGTTGTGATGAGTAGTTGGCTCCCTGGTGCTGAAACTCATGGAAGGGATGGAGGAAGGAGGGTACTTTTTCCTTCAGACTTGATGAATTCAAGAAAGCTTCATAATTTTAGAAGACATAAATAAAGCTGTCTTCCAAGTAAACTGGTTATCCAAGAGGCTGCAGGAGTTCTCTGAAGATTTATAGTGCTTGGAGAAATCCTGGTTAGCTGGCATCATGTCCCTTAGGGCTGTGATGAGCTATTGCATTGCTAATTGTGTTATTCTGTGTCGAAAGTAGCGTGAAAACCCCTTTTTTCTTTAGATGTGAATGTCTACAGAATGACATTGTTTCCATTAAACTTGTTTCCACTAGCGATATTCACATGATTGAGCTTATATTTGGTTCTTGAGAACACTGAGTGGGACTGGAAAAAGGAGAATGGCATAAAAAAGTCTAGTTATGGTCATAATGATTCATAGGATGTGATTTTAATGTGAAAACTGGCTTTTGGCAGTGTTGAGAATGTTGTAGAAAACTTTGCCAAGTGTATGCACTGGAAGGCAAGGGGAAGTAGAAAAGCCACACTGCAGTGGGTTTGACGTTGGTGATTGATCTCTAAAGGTACAGAGATGCATCCTAAAAACCTGCTCTGCCCACCAGTGACTGTGCAGGAGTAGTGGTGTTGTCACACTGTTTCCTACAGCACAACCTTCCTAAGTTAATGCGTTTTTAATAAGCAGTGAACAATTCAGAAATCTGTAGTCTGTTACTGTGGGAACTGAGGAATTTTAGTTAAAGTCTTCAAGTTTGGACATCTTGTTTATAGAAGCAGGGCAATATTTAAGTCCAGACTTGTAGGATACTTGAGTATTTGAACTGCTGTTGTTCCCAGGGTATCCACAAAATTACTGCAGTTTTTCCATATGGTGAGCTTGTTGATATGCTCAGTAAGAATAGCCCTTGCATCCAGTTGCCAAGACACTGAAATAAGTAATTCAGTTCCCAAAGGCAATCTCATCCCCCTTCATGTGTCTGCCATGGATGCTTGTTTGGAATGGTTCTTTGTGCAGAGCTGGGCAGGAAGATACTATACAAATTTCTGTAGAGGTTTTTGGGAGTTGAGAAATGTACCTCTGCTGCAGTGGAACAAACTTTGCACTCTCAGAGGTGTTTTGTGAAAAAAACCCAGGGCATAATCTGACCTGGGGAGGTGGGGAGGCTGAGCAAGGATGAGAACCTGAGCCTTTGCATGCTGAGCACTTACTGTCGTGCTTGCTTCTTCCATTTCCCCTGGAAATTCCTACAAGTTAGAGATGTGTGTTGGAAGTTTTTGTTGAAGCCGGTGGAGCTTCTGGAGACAAAGTTCTGTGAGCAGAACGCTGCTGTGTTCTGACTTTCATCTCTGCCATAAATCATATGGTGAGCATGCATAAGGTACTGCTAGTCTGGTTTGTTAGAGTATGGAAGGGGGCTTCACCAGCGCCCTGTAAGGTTTATGCCAATCTACTGTAAGACTCCTGGAAGCTTTGGGTTACCTCTTTATTATGGTGCCTGTACAAAGTATTTCATCCAGGGGTTCAAAAAATTGAAAGCTGTCTGGATGGCAAATATATTTGCTAAAGATTATTTTATATTTTTCTGTTTCAGACAGCAGCGCTTTCTCATCATCACATCCCCACATTTTCCAGATTAATTTTAACAGCTTGTACACGGCTTTGTGTGAGCAACAGAAGTCTGATCAGGCGACCCTTCTGCTGTACATGCTTCTGCACCAGAATGGCAACGTACGGACATACGTGCTGGCACGGACAGACATAGAGAACCTTGTAAGTATTGTTCTGCTCGCCCTGAGGTCCCATCACTAGCCCTTTGTGCCACACCACCCTTCAGTACCTCTCAGGGTGGGCACTGCACTCCCCTCTGGGCAGCCTGCTCACATTGGCAGATCATGTTCTGTTAACTTATTTTTTAGATATTCAGGCCAAAACTTGCACAGGTTTATCATGTGTGTATAATAGTTAACAGAATGAACTGGGACGTATTTGATGTGCCAGATATCTCACACAATTGACATAAAGCTGAAACTCCTCAGTAGTCTACCTTGTAGACTCTGTAGAAGTGCAATTTCAGTGACTCCTTAGCTGCTTCGATAGGATTGTGGTTCACAGCTGATGTAACAGACACCTGGTGCAGTTCTCGTAGGTTATAAATTAGGTGATGCTCCCTGGTGCACTTAGTATTGTCACAAACCACTTCAACAAATCTTACTTATTAAAAAGCATTCCCCTAATCAGATAATGGCTGTCTGGGGGAATATAGGTAACAGAATAGAGAACCTTTTCCATTACGGTGTTTGAAGTCCTGCCAGATAATTGGATCCTGTGCCTGTCTGATGGCAGATATGGAACGGGTTTGGGCTCGGTCCAAGTTCTGCCACTAAAATCAGAGTTGTTAGAGACTGCTGTTGGTAGACACAGGCAGGATGGTTGATACTGGATTGATGATTTGAAACTGAGCTCCTGTGTAGTCTGCTGCACATTGTTTAGGTGTGACCTCATTCATTTTGTATAAATCCTGTGAACAAGGCATTATATTTGGTGTCCTGTGCTGTTGGTATGTGGTATGATGGGTTTCACAGCGACTAAGCTTATCAATTTATTGTTAGAGAAACAAAGGTTAGGTGTAAGCACTGTTTTGAAACTGATTCTCTGTCTTGAGCTATCCTGTCCGTTTATTTGTACCCTTAATGCATCCTGGTGCTTTTAATGGTCACTGTTGATACACTTCTGAAACCTTTTTGCAATCTGCTTGTTTTCAGTAGGCTTGTAAGTAGGGATGAGCTGCAGCAGGCAGCTAAGAAGAGCAGTCTCAGCTGCTTGATAGCATGTGGTGAGCCAGGCACAAAGAGGATTGGGAGCGAGGAGTTAATGGACGACAAAACTATGGTCTCCCAGTTACAACCCTGTGGTTAAAAATTTAAATTTGTAAATGAGAGGAAGGGGCAGGAGTGTGGGGCTGCTTCCGTATATGGCTGCAGTAAGGCTCTGTGCTATTCTGGTGCCGTGCTACCACTCTCCATGAAATAATCACAGGCTATTGGAAGATGGAGAGAGTGCACAGAAACAGTTTTTTGCTTAAAAAAAAAAAAACAACCAAACACCCACACAGAAACTGGCAGAACTGTGAGGGTTTGTTGTGGGAAACTCAGAAAGTGAACTGTGCTGAGTTAGTGAGAAAGCTGTCTGAGCAGTGTGTGGATGTGTCAGTGTCTTTGCAGGGAAAACGTTGGCCAGGAAGGACTCAGCCTGCTTGGAGGCACGGTAAGGACGGAGCCTGGAAGGTGAATCCCATGGCTTAGAAGGATGGGAGGAAAACAAAGTAATTCAGAGGTGAAAGTTGCTGACAAAGCAGCATTCTCCTTGAGCCAAGGGTGGATGGCTTCTTGGAGGACTGTGGTGTTATCAGGCATGAACCAGTGGGCTAGCTGGGTGAAGCACATGGGTCTATGCTATGAGAGATCCGGTCAGCGTTCAGCTGAACTCTCATCTAAATTTGAGGGGTTTTGGGTTGTGGGGGTTGTTCATTGAACTTCATTCAATGCATCACAGCGTTTGTTGTCTTTTTTCTCTTTTCTTTTTAACAATTCTTTCTGGGTTTGGCACCCAGGAAGAATCACTAACAGATGTTTTCTGGCATTTCCGAGGATTTTAAAGATATCTTTGCACTTCTGTAATATCTGTTTAATTTGTAAATTGAATCAACTGTTTCTAACTGCTGTAGTAGATTGTTTCAGCTTGTTTCCTGACTGGTATATGAATCTACCTCTGTCATTTACATGGAAATACCTCCGTTTTCTTGCTATATTGTACATAGTGCGGTGTACCTTTTTTCCTCTTATAATCTGTTTGGTAGAATGCAATAGAGCATTTGTATGTCTTCCAAACTTACACCATCTCAGTGCATGTAATTCCATAAAATACTTTTGATTAGAGATGTTTGTGTCTGGAAATGCACCTGCATTGCTAAATTGTATGTGCAAAGGTTCTCCAGGAAATGGTGGCACTGCTGAAACAGGGGGCTGTTAGTTCATGTCTTCAAAAGCAGAGCAGCATGGTTTGTGGATGGGAGAATGTTGATCCTTTTCTTGTTGGTAGGAGCACGCACAGCTTCTAATGTCTGCTTTTAGCTGGCCCTTGCTTGGGGGATTAAAAGGAGAACTTTGTAATGGCGGCTGTATCTTAGTGGTTAAAAGCTGCTCCTCATAGAAGAGTGTTGTAGTAATCCAGTAATGACAGTTAAATGATTCTGAATTAAAGGGCCTGCAGAACAAGAAGTGGTTATGGTACGTTTTTTTCCAGTTTCATTTAGAAATCATTCATTGCAGGGTATGACTGCATGTTCAAAAGCTTTGGAATAAGGAGTTGCACCACTGCATTTTTTCACTAAAAAAGTCAGACAAGAAGCAAGACACTTACTTGTATGGATGTTCCTGGACGTAGCCCTCTTCTCTTTGGAAGAACGGGTTGTGGAAGTTTTCTGCTAAGCACAAGTGCTGATGTGTGTTGCACCAAGCATGTCTAAACAGGATCTGCACAACGCTTGACTGCACCATGTCTGTGCATGAGAAGATAGATATTAAGTGTGACATAAACTTTGTGATTTAATGGATGTCTATACCATAAAAGTGTAGAAGTGTGTTTTGGTTACAAATCTAGAAGAATTCCAATGAAACTAAAATTCTAGTTTTGTCTTGCATCTTAACTCTCTTAAATCTTTTCTACTTAAATGGTGGCTTATAAAATCATAGAGTATCCTGAGCTGGAAGATGGTCCGTACGGATCATTGAGTCCATCTCTTGGCTCTACAGAAAAACCAGACCATGTGGCTTAGAGCTTGTTGAAAACTTCTTGTTTTCTGAACGGTAACACTTGTCCTAAAGGAATGTACACCTCAGCATATCAGTGCACAAAGGAAAAAGTGCCGGTGTATTCTGTGTACTGCTTTGTCCTATGTGCAACTTATCATAACTCTTAGGCTTGGAAATGGCGTTGAGATTATGCAATGCAAAGCTCCATAAAATTAAAATATTTCATTTGGGAATAGCTTGAGCAGTGGACTGGTGGAGCAACATTTGTATCCCTTCTCAACACAGCTGTGAAGGGTCTGGAATACGGTTCTGTGGGGAGTGCTTAGGGGAGTGGGATTGTTCAGTCTGGAGAAGAGGAGGGTCCTTACAGCTCCCTGAAAGGAGGTTGTGGTGAGGTGGCATCAGCCTCTTCTCCTGGGTAAAGACAATGGGAATAGAGGCAATGGCCTCAAGTTGCATGAGGGAAGGTTCTGGTTGGATGTTAGGAACAATTTCTTCTCCCAAGAGTGGTGATGCAGTGGTAAAGGCTGTGCAGGGAGGTGGTGGAGCCCCTGTCCCTGGAGGTGTTCAAAAACCATGGAGATGTGGCACTTGGGGACATGGTCAGTGGGCATGGTGGGGTGGGCTGGGGGATCATGGAGGTCTTCTCCAACCTTCATGATTCTAAGATTCTCTTCCATCCAAAGAAAAGTGGTTTTGCAACACACCAAACACATATTCTAGGAAAACACAGTCTTTGTTCTCAAGAGTGATACTCATAAAACACAGAAGGATTGCCACTAGTTTTAACTGGAGAAGAAGAATCCTTTGGATATGTAAAAGAAGGAAGTTTGTGATGTAAATATTTTTTCTCTACTTTTGCTGCTGTATTGCCTTGCCCCTGACTATAGCATCTGTGAGAAGTTTTTGTGGCCTGCAGTACTTAGCTAAACCTCATAGGTTTTGATAGAAACTGTGTTGTGTGTTTAATATGTTCCAACTGTTTTGGGACTTGTTGACTGAACAGAACATTCTGGTAACTTCAGAGGCTTATGCAGCTCTCAGCACTCTGGCCTCGCACCAGAATAGGTTTCACATGATTTGTCCTGCTTCACTAGACTTGTTTTGAAGAACAGAAGTCTGTAGGTGTCTAGAATCTTCTTGGACACCATTTTGCATCTCGTTCAGTATCCTGGAATTGGGAGTTGTCTCCAGTTCCTTTTTCCAGGGTATTTTTGCAGTGTGGGGAAGCCACATACTGAGCTAGTGGAAAGCTAATTTCCAGTTGGTAGGACAACAGTGTTTGCATCTGGATTAGCTTTAGCCTAGCATTCAGGTATGCTTGCAGTTGCAATTCGTTTTCATTATTACTGCAAGACTTTGGCTGAAGCCGTTCATCGTGGTGGAAATGTTGCAAGACCTTGGGCTGAACTCTCAGCAGAACGTCAGTTCTCATTGGCTGCACGCTTTCTAAAATGGGAAAAACAGGCCTTTGCTAGTCGTAACCCAACCCAAACTGGTTCTTGTCTGGATTAACTCCACACGCCAAAATGGGATCTGAATTTCAGGTCACCTCAGCTCCAATATGCCTGGCTGTGTTGAGGAAAGTTACTTCAGACCAGGCTATGTGAGCAGAAATGGTTAGAAACAACTGTTTTCCTGTTTGCATTGCTGAAAATCTTGCTTATTTTCCCATAGTCCAGAGGGGAACTCAAGCTTTCAGAGCCTACGATAACTACTATGGCTGGAAATGTAATTTATTAGGAATTGGAATGCCATGTCTCACCACAAGAAAAATTTTGTGTGGACTTACTTGTGTAGACAGAGTAAAGACAGACAGAAGGTGTTTGAATGCTGTACGTCGCTGCTTAGGAGTGGTTATGTGGAGAGGGAGAAATCACTGTGATATTGTTCAGGACGGGCTGATAGTGGGGAGATTTGGAGTCTCCTCTTTTTATTGTCAGCTGTTTGAAAGACTCATCTAATGTGCACATTCCTCCTTCCCTAAAGGTTCTGCCAATTCTCGAGATTCTGTATCATGTTGAAGAAAGGAATTCACACCATGTCTACATGGCTCTCATCATTTTGTTGATCCTCACAGAGGATGATGGCTTCAACCGATCCATTCATGAAGTGGTGAGTTGCTGCTTTGGTAAATAACTCTTGAGACTTAAAAATCTTTCCAATCTTTATTTATAATTTTAAGCTTGCAGTGACTGCAGATTGAGGGACTAGAAGGGCTATAAAAGGGAGAGAGAAACAGAAAAGCTTTTTTATTTCTCTTCAAAACTTTGCTTAACCAGTTTGATGCGGCTGAGGGAGGGTCTTAATTGGAGTTTTATTTTCCAAACTGTTGCTTCCTTACTTGGCATTTCTTTTCTGTCTTCCTGCTAGATTAATATCTATTCTACATTGTCCATATAATATCATCCAAATGTTGACTCTCTGTGATGGGCCTTGACCATCTGTGCTGGAGAAGACCTTGGATAATAATATTCTGGTTCCCAGCTTCTAACACTGTGATAATACAGATGTCTGCACTGATTATATTTTATTTTTTGACTGGGACATAGAAACTCTCTTTTGGGGTTATGTAAAATCAATGAAATGCAAAAAGCTAGAAGCAACTGCTCTCAAGTAAATTTCCAGCCTGACTGGGAGGTAACTGGTGTTTTGTCTTATTGCCAGTGGTCAGACGTTAATAATATGTATGTTCTGAAATGTCAGAATTTTATATAGCTCTGTATGTCATAAATGGAGCTTGGTGAGGGTTCAGGGTGCAGCAGACGATTCCACCCCTGACTCAGGCTGTTTCCTCATTGTCCTTCATTTGTTTCAGTTGGTTTACATGCAGTCTGTCAAAAATTCCTTGCTGGATAAATAAAGTGGAAGATTTCCCTAATGCTGTTAATGAGGATCCAGCTGTGGAATGAGAACTTACATCAAGTGTCCTTGTCCAGCTTATGCTTGCCATCACCACTAACCCTGCCAATATATTTGTAGTGTAATGTGGATGTTATTTTACTACTTCCATTTCAGTTACAAAAATATCTGGTTCCTTTTACCCTGCACTGATTTGCTCAGCCCTGCCTTTGCCTTTTTTTATTTTCTTGTCCATTTAATCTGTTTTGCTTAACTGCTTCTCTCTTATTCTATGCCTTTTTCTCTCTACAATTCCCTGTCTATGCCAGCTCAGTGGCATCCTTTCAGCTGTAATGCCAAGGAGTTTGCTCATTCTGCAGATTGGTGAAGGTGGCTGTGAGCTGCATTTGTGTCTGTGTGAGCTTCTGTGTCACCCTGCTTCAGAATAAGGTGTGAAACTTTGGGCATAAAAAGCCAGTGGAGCACTATGACACGGCTGAGGTCAGATGTGGATTAACATGAATTCTTCCACTGGTTCTCCTCTATTTCTTAATATTGATTTTCTCACCTTGTATCACTTTTTTGTGATTGACTGGATGTGTTTCACGTCAAAGCAGAGAGCAGACGTTATAGAATCATGGAATAAAATGGCTTAGATTGAAAGAACCCTAAAGATCACTTCAAGGCAAATCAGAATGCTGTTCCACCACTGCAGTGCTTGCCTTAGTGATTTTGAAGGCTTTTTCCTTGCCCCATGCTTAGGAAAAAGAGCTGGTCACCCCCCCATATCAGCTGTGATGTAAATTAGAATTGATGACTGCAATTCTAATGATTGATAATTGATAGGAAAAAAAGCACATTTTGTCAAACTTTGAAAAAGTTACCTTCTTGGTGAACAGATATATTGGTGGAAGGATTGGTAGTTAGCATCTTCCTTTGCCTGCAGGAAAAGGATACAAAGTCATCCTCATGCATCAGTTCCCCTTTCCCATCCTTTGAAATGGTTTAAATCCTTGTTTCCAGGAGTTAGTGACTGAACTACTGTTCTAAAAGTACATGGAAGTATTTAGTCTCCTGCTTTCCTAAAAATTGAGTCCACATCTCCTAAAGTCTAAGGGGATATTATAAAGGGGAAAATATTATGAGTAGAACTGGGAAGCTGCATGTACGGTTGTCAGATGTGAACATCAGTTACACAAGTGGAATGAACTCTTACTGCAAAGATTGCTCAAACGTTAACAACTACGGCGGGATTTTTTTTTAATCGCTTGGCTGAGGAATGAAGAGAGAAGCAATTGATGCAGTTTAGGTCGACCTGGTTTTCTCTCTGCTATGTATCCTATGCAATGTTCTTAGGAAAACCTTTATACGCTATTTTCCTTTCACCCACATTTATTCATTGATTTCTAAGATTAATTTTAGTAAGCCCGATTTTATAGATCTTGTGATTACACAAACTAGTAAAGAGCTCAGGAAACCACAGAAATTCTTTTCGACTGTTGAGGCATTTCTCTTTAAATTGATTGCGGTCTTAACGGCTGGAAACCATGATCCAAACCATCAGTCCCACTGTGGCGTCGTGAATTCGGGCCCCTGGAACCACGGAGAGCTCCATGTCTTTCATTAATAGCAACTGAGTCAGTGGGTGAAGGCAGCAGCTCCCCACGCGGATGTGCATCGGTGATTTCTCTGTCCTGACTCATGCCATGGTAGATAAAAAAAGATCAGGTGTCGCGGTAACTTTGTGTATCACTTGAAGAGGCAGCAACCTGTAGCGCTGCCGCAGTACTTTGTTCTGTAGCAGTCAGCGGCAGGCTGTGAAGCACAACTTCACTGCGTTTGTTGTCTTTATTCTGCTAAGGAACATTTCTCAAGCCAGTCAGTGTGAAAACAAGAAACTCAGTGCTGAGGATACGGAGAACTGAGTTCCTCTTCATTTGGTCTGTGTCTTTGTGCAGTGTTCTAGTCAGAACCTCTGTGTTTTCTGTCTTGAAAACCAGAGAGTTTGTTTCAAGTGTGGCGTTGTTTTCACGCGGATGATATTGAAATTTGAAATACTTTTCATATTTCATGCTTCTGGAACCAGTTGCTTTTGTTTTATGAAATTAGTGTCCGTGTCTAGAATTAGGCCTATAGGATTCTTTTCCTTTTTTCTTCTCAGGTTTTGTTTTCAAACCTACTGACTAAGGGTTTTGGTAAAGCATGCGTGTAATTATGTCTTGGATATTTAGTACTACAGTCAGTGGGATACAACCTATAATGAAAGATATCCCTTGGAGCAAAGAAAACCTATGACATAGTTCTTTGGGATCCAAGGGTGTATAAAAAGTAGAATTATACACAGAGTATGTAGTTTTGAGTTTGTATTTCAGAGAGTGTGACACAGAACAATTGTACTCTAAACTCTCAGTTCTCAATACTGAGAACTTTTATTCCTATGGTGTTTGAGTGCCTTTTGGATCCTCAGTAAGAGCATAGCACAAACGATCTATCAATGTCACAGACTGCAGTATAAATCACATTTCAGTTTATGGGACTTGATGGAAGGCATGCGCTCGTTTATGTGCAAGAATTAAGGCTGCTGACTAGAAAATAAATTGTGCAAGATGCATGCTGTCATATACATCCTGCTTGAAATATGAAACGTCTTTGCTGAAACTCAGCATTGCTGAGTAGCATTCTGCTGGCTGATTGTGTTAGAGAGATCCTAGTCTTGCCATACAAAGCCTGGTGAGAATTCATAGAATCATGAAATCATAAAGATTGGAAAAGATCTCCGGGATCATAGAGTCCAACCCCAAGCCATGCCCTCCGTGCCCACTGAACCACTCAGAACCAAGGCACATTGGTGGAAAAGGAACCAAGATCAACAAATTGATTAGAAAGGGAGAACAAGAGCTTCCTTGCTGAAGTGTTCATTTTTAAATTGAACCTTTAATTTTCTCTTTAAAGAAATACACCTTACTCGATGTGCAATGAAAAATGTGATGTTAATATTCTACAAGACTCCCATGTAGACTACTGATGTTCCTCTGTACAAAATCAATATCTAAAAAATAATAATTGCACTGTGTAAATCTCAGCTGTGCACACTGAACTTGTTTTTCTGTAGCAGAAGATGATTAGTAACCATGTACACAAAAATTAGGATTTGATGGTTTTATTTTTAATGCAGCAAGTCTAGCAGCTATTAGATTAGTCACTGGATTTTTACCTGTCTGTTTGGACACAAGTACATTAACTGAAATATTTTGATGTGCAGCCTTCATTAGTCCCTTAGCTTCTCATAAGAAAGTGGGTTATGATTCTGACGTTGTGTTAGAATAATGTTGTATTGTAGGGAGAATCCCTGTTAAATGTTGGTTACAAGGGGATTAAGTAAATGAAGAGCAAAGTATCCTTAAAGGTTGTTAAGTGCTCTGCATTAAGCTTCAGTTCTGCTTTTGTTGCTTATTAAAGGGCTTGTTCATTAGTGTAGAGGGAGATGCTTGCAGATTGCAAATCTACCCAGAATGTTGGTGATTGTTCAGAAGTTGCTATAATTTGGATCTCTATAGAGACATAGGGGTAGTCATGGCAGGTCATATTGTGACTACAAAAGTACCATGCTTTCATAAAAGCAATCTGCAAAATTTAAAAGGAATGAAAATGCAAAGTTTTGTTGCATGTTGACCCAAAATGAGAATAAATGGAAGAACTAGCGAATGTAAATCTTCTGCTGGTTGTGTATCAGAAAATGGTGGTGGGATGCAAGTGGTAAAGACGGTGAACTGAAAACCAGGGCAAATAACTTCAAGTACTGAGAGGTATCAGCTCTGGGATAGCTTGCCTGCTGGAAGGTGGGCTGCTCGACTCATTTATAACAGGAGTAAACAAAGGTTTTCACTGCAGGCTGTAAAGACCAGTCTGGTTTTGTCAATAATATGGGATAGCTCATTTCTTTCCAGTTCTTGTGCAGTTCTATGATTCATAACTTTCATAGTAGTTTTAAAACAAACCAAATCAGTATTTAAATGTGTTCAGTATGTGTAATACTGCAGGGAAACAACAGCCAGTGTTAATAACTGATGATTTGGGTGTCACAGGGAAGGATATCTCCTGTTTGTAGGCTCCAGCATGCCGTCTCTTTGAATCCTCTGTAAAAAAACCTTTGCATTGGTTTGTTCCTTGCTGAAATACATTCCTTTGCAAATACACCAGCTGAATATAAAAGTAATTCAGTATTGTTTGAGCAGATCCAGTCTTTGGGCTGAATTGGAGAAGCTGGGTTAATGGAACAGCTCTGAGTCTCCTGTTTCATTCTCAAAGGTGGAGAAAGGAAAGAAGACTTATATGCTTCACTTACTGCTGTTGGTACAAGTTTTTTGGGTGCACTGGCTGTTAATAGGAAAAATATTCACAGGAACAGGGACAAACTCTGTCAGTATCAACGAGGACACACTGCCCTCTCTGCATTTGTGTCGTGTCTATCGTCAGTGGGGGCGAACACAAAATGAGGAGGATGAGAGGCAGAAATGAACAGTGCACAGTGAGTAATTCCACAGCCAGCTTTTGCAGGGCGTGGGTTGGTAATGTGCTCTGAATTATGGAGCTCTCCATTAGGTACCTCATGTGGCCTCATTATTTCCTTCTAAACCACACGTCTTCAGCAAATACTGTTTGACATTGAAATTCTTGTAATGGAACGTCTTCAAGACCTTGAGAAGCAGCAGGAGAAAATAACCACGTGGAGGGCTGTGGTCTGTAAAGGCACTGAGCAGTGCCCATTCTCCTTCAATATATGTTACATAGAGAATTTCAAATGACAATTTCCATGCTACCATGGAAATGAACAATTTGGAGTGACCTTTTTGGAAGTGAGTTCTGTGCTCGTTCAGTGATTTGCAACCAAATGATTGCATCAAGCCTGACATACAATTAATGTTTATAAAGTATTTCTCTTGATTATTTCTCTGCCAATGTTCAGTTGTAGCGGGAGAGTTGTGCATCACCCAACCAAGGGCTGATACAGTGGGAGATGCCCAGATTTTGCCACAGATATTCTGCTGCAGACTTTGCAGAATTTGGTATTGTGAATTTCTTCAGTATCCCGTGTAGATTAATTTACTGAGATTTTTTAGGTAGCTGGAGGAGGCTTTAGATTCTGAAAGTATTTCTAAATGCTTGTTTAGTTTGTTGCTACGTCTCCATCCTCTCTATACAAAATAGAGGCCTTTCTGAGCTTATTGATCAGTGGGAGGAAGAGGGAATTGTACAAGCCAAATGACGCAGGATGAAGTTCAACATTCTTTCCAATTATCCAAGTAAGAGATGGAAGGAAGAGATACAGTCAGAAATGTTTTCGTGTAACATTTTGCCAACAGTAGTTAATGAAATTGAACAAGGCCATCAGCTAGGTTAAGGGAAAAGGGAGTCCGGGGACCTTTCTGTGTTCTTATTCAGACCCAGATGCTGAACAACCTTTTTCCTCTTTCCAGATATTGAAAAACATCACGTGGTATGCTGAGCGTGTCCTAACAGAGATCTCACTTGGGAGTCTCCTGATACTCGTTGTGATAAGAACCATCCAGTACAACATGACACGAACGCGGGTAAGAGTTACATGGAGTGCTTGTGTACACAGTGAGGGCTTCTAAGTTAAGCAGCAGGATCTCAGCCTCAAACAGGGTGTGGGATCTCTTTCTGTTGCAGTGAGTTGGCACTGGAAGTTGTAGGATGGAAGGAAATGGGAAGAACAGCCGTATTAGCTAAGCACAGTGTTAGATGGCTCTGAACTTGTAGGACAGTTTCTGTATTATCATCCAATTCATTGAGTAGGACTCTCTGAATAGGTACAGGACTGTTTATCAGATAAGAAGAAAAAATTCCATTGTCTAATGGGGAAAAACAGTTGCTTACAGTTTCTTTGCTTCTACTCTGTTATTACTCAGAAGTGGGCAGCTCAGTTCTATGTGTAGAACAGCCACTGTAGGGCGTTTTGATTGTAGTACCTAGAGTCTGTTACACTCAAGAGTACGTGTATATTTTAGATCAGAGTAGGGAAAATAAATCCCTCGTAGGTGTAATTAAACACTGATGTGTAGGGGCTGGTCATGCTGGTGGCTCAAAACAATGTATGAATTCTTGCCAAATTTGAATATACTGAATAATAGTATGTTATTAATAGTACCACAGCAAGTCATATGTGGATTCAAGATTTTTTTTTTCTCTTTTAAGCAATGGCCCAGTCAGTTTTTACTTGCCTGCAGCCAAACTCCGTTGGTAGTGACGGTTCCCATCTTACTGAGGGCTTTGTGAAAACCCTTGGCTTTGGTAGTGCCATCACTTAAGTGCTCCTCTGAACAAATGGCTTCTGGCATTCTAAAAGGGGAACAGAAATGTTAAGTATCATGGAGTAATAGTTGTAGTAGTAATATCATATAGTAATAGTATCACATATTAATATTTAGTAATGGTAGTAGTATAGTAGGATATATGGAATGTTTTGAGAGAGTTAGTAGAGAAATGAGTTACAAAGCAGGAAATGTTAGGATAAGACTAGAAAATGGAGAGAGATAAAGGAAGAGAAGAATTTATTTCTGTATTTATTACTCCTGTGATGTTTTGTAAAAGAATTTGCTAAGGATATGAAGGTATACATGTAAGATACATAAGTACACCCTGAAATCTATGTCAAATCACTCTTATAAGCCTTCTATCAAAAGAGAAATATTTAAAAAATCAGTGCATGTATGAACTTTGTCATTCTCCTGTGAGCTTTTGACCGTGGCCTTTGAAACAATGGGTATCAGTCCTCTGAGTGGTTTCCTGCAACAGATGTCACTATGTATAAAAAGGACAGTTTGATGTGTTGGTTTTTCTCCCTTCTTTCTGACAGGACAAATACCTGCACAATAACTGCCTGGCAGCCCTAGCCAATATGTCAGCACAGTTCCGCTCACTGCACCAGTATGCTGCGCAGAGAATCATCAGGTAAATATGAAACTTCTGAAGTGGACTTCTTCTTAAACTTCTCCTTACACCTTGCTGAATCTCAGGGGCAGAGGGACTTGAATTTTCTATGCCATAAAGCTGGTGAACTTAACAGCTGGAATGATAACTGAGTAACTGAAGAGTAGCACGATTAATTTTGGGTCTGTTCTGAATGCACAGAAATGTGAGTATCTCTACCTGAATAACTCCTGCTTTTGTTTCTCATATCACAAAGCTCAGTAGCAGCCTTAAAGCTTGAAGGTTTTCACAAATTTCTGTAAGTTATGCTTCTTGTACTCATGCATCACATTATAGGAATGCACTCTGCTGGCAGTCAAGTACTTTGCAAACTGGATTTTCAACGTGCTTTACTTCTTCCTGCACATTTGACAAAAGATTGATTTCTTAAGTCAGACAGAATGTGCTGAAAGTACGGACAGTAAACCCTACATGATGCTTTTCACGTGCTCTGGTTCTAGAGCATGGCCATAGCTTAGGAAGGAGGTACTGGAGTTGGTTCTTCCCGTTTTTGCTGTGCTCCAGACCCTTTGTGAAGGGAGGTATCACACATGGGGCATCCTGCTCATTCTGGCAGCCAGCCCTGCTCCGTGCTCCGGGGGAAATTGGGAAGGTCCTTATGAATGCAATCTGGAATAAACTTCTTTAGTGCTTGTCAGTGCAGACAGTGTGCCAGAAATAAGTAAATGATAACTGCGTGCCTGTACGCTTTGTAAAGGACTTGGTTAACAGAAAACATACCTCATTGTTAAACCTCTCTAGTTTGGATTTAATTCACTCCTAGTCCCTTCTCTTCATGAAATGCTTGTTTGTGAAAATATCAACTACTCATCAGTGTGAACGCTTCCATCGTCTTTTCCGTGTTTAACACACACATCCTTCTAAAATCCCGTGACAGTGAGTGTTCAGACTTGAGCTATTTTCCTGCTACACATCCCAGACGTTGTCTTGCACACCTGCACTCCTCATTTCTCAAATCGGAAGGGTGGAGTTTGAGCTTTCCAAGCACTTGCAAACTCTGAAATCATAGCTTCTACCATGCACTTTGCACCACTTCTCCATACATCTTTGGGGCACACTGACCTTGATGTTTGACACCTGTCCACGACCCCAGGAAGGATGTGGAACCTGATGAAGTTCTCTTGCACTCCTCATATGCAACATTTCAACAACCTGCCATGAAGTTGATGTGCCTTATTTATCATCTGTCTAAACATGTTGAAATATGGCTGCTTGTGAAAGAATTGTACTAAAATTTGTATGGAAGATATGGTTCTGGTGTTGTTGTCTAACACACGACGAGTTCTGGCTGCCAGCAGGGTTGGCTGTATTGTTCTGGAAATAATGTTGGAGTAGGGTAAGGATGGGTACAGAAAGTGGACGTTCTCATCCATCAAAGAAGGACACTGGAAAGGCAATATGGTATGCATCATGTACAGCATAACTTTATTACATAGTTCAAAGATACGCCACACAATTGTTTTTAAACTTCTGCCCTTCTGTAGCTGGGTGCTCCATATTACCGTGCAGTAGAAATTTGGAATGAAGGAGATGAAATTTGAAACAGAACCAGAATAAGAAAAGGAGGGTTAAGGACAGCATTTGATTCTTTTTCCCTCAATTTTTGAATATAGTTCACTCAGAATCTTGTTCTACAGTTAGAAAGCTGCGTGTCTGGAAAACAGGCAAAAAATGGCCACCAAGATCGTGATCTTATTTGTCACAATAATTGTGATGGATTGCTTATAAATCAAAAGACCCTTCTATAAAAATGCATTAGAAGCAATAGGAATAAATATTTATCAGTGCATACATTTCATTAAAAATGACTGTTTTGAGGCATATATTCTTCCTTTTCCTACCTTGCAGAATCACAGAACTGTAGGGATTGTAAGGGACCTCCGGAGATCATTAAGTCCTCTCTTATTTGGTACTGAGTCACTATTATTAAATGCAGCCAGCACCAAAAGACCTAACCTGCTCCATGATCCCAAAACAGAACATACTTCAGATTGTTGTTCTGGTTCTATCATCAGAGTGCAAACATCTCTGAGAGAATAAACCACAGCATCCTGGATTAAAAAAGTCTTTCTGTGAAGGAAAAGCCTATAAAGAGTATCAGGTAATTAGGAATATATGTATTTTAGGATATAACACTTAACTTAAAGTCTGTTTAGCAATATAATTGAATGGGCAGTCATCATTGGAGCCTCACTAGCTGCTCTAGTGGTTCCGTTCTTCATGTGAGAAGTAATTCCATCTCCATCCTAATCCTGTTCTGAGCAGAAGTTGCAATTGCTTTAAATTCTGAAGGCAACTTCTGTAAAGGAAGTGGGGGAGAATATTCAGTGCTGCATGCATTGGAGCTCAGCAGAATCCAGCTCCATAATGTTGGCTAATTTGTTTCACATTCCAGCAGGAATAAGAATGGACAGATTTGCGTGAATTTATCACCAGCATGTGCTGGAAAGACAAACAGATGTCAGAGATGCTTTATGACAAGAAGCAGGGCAGCATTCATTTCAGGTCGGATGTCCTTTCCTATAGATTGCAACGACTTCGTGTTGTACAGTGCAATCCTTCCTCTCTGCCCACTGTTAGCACTGATGTGTTGTGAATTACACAGAGGTGTTTTATCAGGGCAGTGCCAAGGATGTGGTGCTGCACTGCATCTATCCTGTTTGCAAAGTGCTGATGTTTGTGGGACTGGTTCTGTCAGCTGAGCATTTTTCCTGCGTCTCTACGGCTTCGTCTGCAGGAATGTTTGCTGCTTTCTTTGTAGGTGTAGAGGTTTCTAAGCAGGACCACTAGAGGTTGCCATACACCTCACTAATTAGGCATGCACATTAAGCATTAAGAGAACTTATGGGGCGAATTTTTCCTTTTTTCTCACCCTCTCACAGCAGCCATTTACATGCAGGGCTGTGTGAGCCGCCATGAATGGCTCATCAGCTGCTCTCCATTGGACAGCTTAAGGAAATTAAAAGAAATACCATAAGATGGCACAGTTAAATCTGTTGTGTGCTCTTATCTCTTCGGCCATCCTGGAGACGTGGCAGACGTTGCTCCAGAATCCGGTCCCTTAAGAATGAAATTGCATGATGTTACATGAAATTGCACCTCTTCAGCACTGAGATGGTTTTTAATGGAGTGTAATTTGGAAGAAGAATGTCTGAAATTCAGTTAAATGGTGTATTACGTATGCAGAGTGTTTGGTAATAATTAGGGGTTGGACGAGATGACCTTTAAATGTCCCTTCCAACTCAAATAGTGATGTTATTCTACAATTCCGAGTAGCATCAATCAGTAAATTTTGTTCTGGATGAGAAAAATTTGTACCGGGGTTGGTGCTGCAAAAAGAAGAATGCGTATGAAATGAGTGCAAGATGTATTTCCCACAGCAGTGCTCTTTTAATTTGACTTGTTTCTAAAGAACTCTCTGGATTTTAATAGTAGGTGCACGTGTCTCTGTGTTTATATCTCTGCATTTATATGAGTTCATACAAAGCCGTGTTGCTACATATATAAGCATGGAGTAATGCACATCTAGACTCTATTTCAGGTTTATCAGCCAGTTTTTGTGAAGGCCTTAGTTGCTTGAAGTAGCGTTGTCTGAGTCCTGTAATACCTTCTGTGATCACAGCAGTAACTTGAGAGTAACAACGGAACTACAGAAATGTTTGCTGTGAACTTTCTTCAGTCTTTATGACATCGAATCATTTCAGTTTGTAGAATCATAGAATCATTAAGGTTGGAAGGGACCCCTAAGATCACCTAGTCCAATCACCCACCTGCCACCAGAATTGCCCACTAACCACGTCCCTAAGTGCTACATCTGCCTTTCCTTAAACGCCTCCAGGGACAGAACCCCACCACTCCCTCCCTGGGCAGCCCGTGACAGTGCCTGGCCTCTCTTTCTAAGAAGAAATTGTTCCTAATACCCAACCTGAACCTCCCCTGGTGCAACTTGAGGCCATCAGCTCTTGTTCTATCTCTCTCCTATCACTGGTTACCCAAGAATGGGTTTGGCTATGATGGAAATATGAGCTGAGTTTGTAAACTCAAATTTTGTTTAGCTCACCGTGCTCTGTATTAAAGTGTTTAATTTTGTTCTTTTCATTGACCTTCAGGTCAATGAAGGACAAGTTGCCCAAGGAGGCTGTGGATGCCCCATCCCTGGAGGCATTCAAGGCCAGGCTGGATGTGGCTCTGGACAGCCTGGTCTGCTGGTTGGTGACCTGCACACAGCAGGGGGATGGAACCAGATGATTTGGTCCATTGTGGTCCTTTTCAACACAGGCCATTCTGTGGGTCTATAATTCTATGACCTTCATGGCATGACACATCTTTGTGATATTTCTGAAATAGTTTGATAGAGTGCTAGACCTCTCAGTGAGTATTCTTTACGCCCACCTTTTTATAGGCTGTATGCAATCAGATTAGTTGATCATATTGTCAACTGTCACATTATATTGATCTAAAGAGAGCAAGTTCCTTGCCTGTGCTTTCCCCTAGAATGTCAGTTGCTGTTTTTATAAACTAGAAACAAGGAGAAAATTAATCATTTCTCATGTCTCGTGTTTGGCAGAATGGTGATGAGTTTGCAGTGTTTTTGTTAATCAGGTCTGCACATAGAGCTGTCAGTCTTTATGGCTTTGGGGAGAAATTGAAGTCTCTCCTGACTTCGCAACTTGATTTATAAAGCAAAAAAAAGTACAATCAGAAGAATTTCATTCTGTGGTTGGTTCCATAGCAGTGAGTTACATTGATGTGGGTTTGCAGGTTGGGATTGTGTGGTTTTTGTTTGTTTGTTTTTGCTTTGCTTGTTTGTGTTGTTTTATCTTTACTCCAAATCTACCCTTTCTTCAGGCAAGATCTCTGCATAGAAGCAGCAGACGTTTGGGTTGGACAGGCACTGCTTCCTCAGGCAGCCCTTCTGCAAAGAAAGCAAAACACAGTGCAACAGCAGGACGTGTGGGATC